TCGAGAAATAGAGAGAGACAGAGAGACAGCGAGGGAGGGAGGGAGAGGGAGGGAGGGAGGGAGGGAGAGAAAAAGAGGAGGGGGTGGTGGTGTGAAATTAACAGGTGACCACAGAATTCTACACTTAGTGTAGAATTCTGTGCAGGTGACAGAACAGGACTAGAGAACGGGAAAGGAGGAAAGCAATTAGAGGAGGGCATTTCAGAGACGACAGATTAAAAAAATAAAATTTTTGATAAATCACTGTCAGGTTTCGATCCCATGACCTTTTGAAAGAGAGGCATGCTCCATGCATCTAATCCATAAGAGCCCCTAAAGGAACTTTGAACACTATCTTTAAGGAATCGATGCGTAATCACTGATCAGCAACTTCTAGAGTTACCATTCAGTTCAACGTATTCAGGGCAAATAAAACCAATCTGGCAACTGTGTTCTTTACATAGATTTACATCCTAGAATGCATTGCGCACTGTCATGTCCACCACTCTTTGGCGCTATTCAAAACTTCGCAACAACTTGAGAACACAAAGGGTAACGAAGGTTGAAACACTGCCCTGGTATAACTGAATTCTTTTGTTTGGCTCGAAATAGAGTCAATTGATGGTGCACTCCATACTCAAATGGAGTCATTATAGCCCTAAGAGTTAACAATCTAGGTTTTATAAGTCTATGTTCACGCTTCATTGTCATTTCCGCTCACTGCTTTTTTACTTGCCAAGTAAGACTACATCCTAGTGTTTTAGTGGGATATATATAATAGAAAACCATCTTTAGAAACGTAGTTCATATAGATCTATTTATATTGAGTATTATGCTTGGAAAATATGCTTATTTTCCTTTTTTTTGGTTTTGATTCAACAGTGTAAATAAAAATAGTTGACAGACTGACTACGTCACACTACGGAAATTTCACCATTCACCGTGTCCAAATACCTGGACTTTCAAAACTCGGCGTTTGTTGTCAACAGTAACAAAAATGGCGACATCAAGGTTTGTAGAATTAAATTCCCGCTGTTTATAGTAACAACACAGATTGCAGTGTAGTGTGCGAAAAAAATAGACTTTTGATACCCCACACTGAAAATGTTGAAGTCTTTTTCTTCTTCGATCTCTCAGTAGATCACATTTTTAGTCGAGTATAAATGTGTAAAGATTCATTGAACCCCCGCCTCCAACCCATCGCCATCATGATGAATGTGACTTATGACTTCTGTGAATGAGAATGATTATTTCAAGGCGTTGATTTGATATGGCCCAAATAAATAGAACTAGGCTAGTCAGCAGTCACTGAAATAAAACTTTTGTTGGTAGAGCTAGAGCATTACTCCCCTCTGTTGAAATATAACTAATATGGATTTAGTCTTTCAGTGTGACTCACCTGAGAATACTCACAAATTATAATTATTTTCAATCGTTTTTTTCATTTCGCCCTTTTTATTTTGTTTAGGTTTTGAGTTATGGGATGTTGGGATTCAACCCTGATCATTTCCTAAAGATCTAATCTAGATCAAGATCTAACTCACAAAAATATATTTGAAAAAATGTTTTTTCGTCTCCAAACTGTCAGCATTGTTTCGGTACGACTGCAATTCAGCCACAACAATGTTCATATAGCATTGTTACACATTTTGACATGTCTTCTTTCACTGTCTTGAAAATCTGAAATTTGTGTCTCTGGGAATTTTACTGCGAGAAAAGCACGGAGTGTCCTTTTCAACTTCCGTTTTTGATGAATTATAAAGCTTGAGTTTTGATTGATTTTCTGTGTTTACAAATTGGTGATCCCATTTTGCGACCAGCTGATTCGATAAACAATATCTCACTGACCAGGACCATCTGGTGATTTGATGAGTAAAAGAGTTTTTATCCCTTCAGAAAAGGCCTGATCATGTTTATTGCGGGAAAATCACTGAAAGAGGTCTTTGTGGGACAATTCATGTATTGTTAGCTGTTAGGCCTCTGCGTTTTTGTTTTTTTTTCAAATTAAAAAAAAATAAATTTATTTGTCCAATAAAATTCTTTCTATTGCACTTAAGTGCCACTTCAACTTTGGTAAATTTACAATCTACAAACGCTGCTGATTTTGTTGGTAAATAACATCATGAGGTTATCTCTTGTAGTTATCAAGATATTGCACACTTTATGTGTGACCATATCGTGGTGAAATAGTGGCTGCATTAGAAAAAGAGCAGCAAAGTGGGGAAAAATACTACGGCCATGAAGAGTTAATCTCATCCAGGGTTAGCTCTTCCTGTAACCCTTTCGTTGCCAGTGCCTTTATGTATTTCCACTGGCTCTCATGGTGTAGGGGTTAAGGTGTTGGCCTGTCATTCAAAGGCCCTGGGTTCGAATCTGTGTAATGACCAAACATTTTTTTTCTATAAAATTTTCTCTTTTCACCTCCTTCTCTGCTCTCTAGCAGCTTAACGTGTGCCATGCGCTATGACATTATGCAGTTGTGAGCGCCGTAAAACACTTATCCAAAGAAAAAAGTATTCCCACTGTCATTACAGAGTTTCAGTTAAGCTCGTTAGTCAGGACTGCAGTCCCAGTGTGGGTGGACTCGCTGTCTAGATCAAGCCCTCTCATGACATATTTGGATTCTGGACGTTTTCGAAAGTGTCATGTTCCTTGATTCTATATTTCTCCATCTTACCCATAATTTCGATAAACATGCAAATCTAAGTCAAAAAGTGAAATTGTCTTTTTAAAGTCATTTTGCAAGGGCATGCATTCATCTGCAAAACAAGACCCTTGTGTTTATCGATTGGTTGCAATCCTACTAATAGTAAACTTGGCGTCTTGTACTCTTTAAGGTTGCTGTAATATGCAGGAGACCCGAGTTCGATTCTCAGATGGTGAGAAATTTTTATTGAATATCTTGGTCTTTCTGCTGGTATATGTATCGCTCTCAGCCTAGGTTGCCCTGACAGGCAGGGTTGAAAGTCTGCCTTCTAAATGATCTAAATTTTGTTGTAGATTGAGTGGAAAAATGCCAGTTTTTACGATTTCATTACTTTGACAAGTGCCTGATCTCACCACAATGACTCACTAATTGGGATGGCCTGTAAATCATACATGATGCAGAGCTCTCATTTTGACGAAAGGTGGATTTGGTTATGACTTGACACTGTTTTTCCTATTTTATGTCCCATATAGTGTAGTGCCATATGAAGCCAAAACGGCTCGAAAGGTGGAGCTCAATGAAATTATTCCTCCAGTGGACTTCTCTTTCCTCAAGATTGCAAGTGTCGATGGTACGTACGTATGCCTCAAACTTAATAGCTTGGTAATATAATGTTACTGGCTGTACCGGTATGTTTTCGTCTCCCGTCACTTGAGTACAGCTGTTGATGTCAGCCAGTTTAATTATATTTCTTGTCCTTTTATGAATAGATTTTCACAGACCGAAGGGCTAGAACCCAAATGGCCGCTGGATCGGAAAAGTAAAGTAAAGTAAAGTATGAATAGATTGCTAAAAAATGCGTGCTGAATACTGTTGCTAATCATATTGAATTCAACGGGAAGGGGGAAGAGTAGGCCCTACCTATTGGTCTAACAAGTTTGTGGTTTTGAAATATCTGAAATTTATACCTATGTATATGCTCCATTTAAGTTCTCTCTACTCAATGATCTTTTACCAGTGGTCTTGTGTTTTTCTGAGAACTGGTATTTCTTTGTGCAATGCCCTTTCATATTTGTTAGGGCTGATTGGGAGTCGGAAGGTGTGCCCGTTATCCATATGTCTTAGTTGTTTCCCTTCCTCATAAAGGAAGTTATTTCATTTTTCATTCTTCAAATTTAGTAAAAAAAATGTTCCTTTTCATTCTTAGGACTTGGTTGCTCTGTTTCATTTAGTTAAGGGAAGCATGTCAACAGCTAAGTAATTTTATTACTTTTGGAAACACATCTAGCAGGAGCAGGGTGTTTCAGGAATACGCAGTAGTTATTCTTTAGAACTTCCCCTTCTAAAGCCTTGAAATACTGTAATTTTTCACAACTGGAGTACATGTGCTATTACTTTATTTCTACGATTGCTTTCCTTCGACTGTACTTTCATTACCTAGACTTAACGTTATAGAAATATCACAGTTCTCATGCTCTATTTCAATTGTATTTTTGGCTTGTAATGTCCTCAGAGTGTGAGTCAGAAGAGCCAAGGGATAACTCGCCCCGTAAACAGCGTGCAGTGCAGAAGAAAAAAGAAGAGGAAAAAGATGATAAGTCTGACAGCCTTTGCCTAAAACTGAACAACAATGAACTCAAAGATGTAAACAACATCATGTCAATAGCAGAAATGTTATTTCAGAACCCCTCAAGCATTGGATGGATTGATCTCTCCTTCAACAGCTTAACACATATTGATCCTGTGAGTGCTCTAGATATTATAGTCGTGATATGTTTTTTTTTTTTTAGCTTCTTATGCATACATTATTCATACATTATTGTCATCACTCCATCACCCCCCCCCCCCCCCCCCCGAAACCCCCCCCCCAAAAAAAAACTCAACCAAAAACACAAACAAACATATAGATGCATTTGATCATATCTGTTCAGAGGGTTTATATAACCAGTTAGCATTTTATCAAGGTCTCATCACGGCCCAGGAGAAAACAAAGGTATGGCCTTCCCCTCTCTCTAACGGAACCATGAGGCCTCTCCCAATCAAGGTTCTCCCAGGATGTGTTAATTTTTATTTGATTAAAAAAAAAAAACCCTCCAATTTTTCTGTTATCACACAGTATTTTGACATTTTGATGACCCCTAGTGGCCCTCTGAGCTCAGTGCTGAAAGGCATGTACACATATATGCCTTTTTTGGAATGTGCTCTGACCAGTTGCTTTTTCATGCAGCAAATTTTTACCTCATTTGTTTTACACGGTGGTTACCTTTTGTTTAATCTACTACCATCTTGCACTTTCGGACAGATTGCCACATTGCATTAAGGGTTTAAGCATTTTGTTTTTTACTAGTTTTTTAAAGCATGACTATTGGCAACAAGACTTTGATGTACAATTTTTTTTCTGCTGTTTTTAATTCTAAAAATCATGTTTGATCTTATAATAAAAGGAAAAGGTGGTTGCCTTTCCTGGGTTTGTTGGTGAAGCATTCATTAAGCTTTGTTTCCTCTTTTTGTTCTTGTGTGAAGGTCCTAACTCAGTTTGAGAACCTGAAGATTTTATACCTCCATGGCAATTCAATCGAAGATGTCAAAGAAGTCAACAAGCTGGCAGTGCTACCCAGATTAATAAAACTCTGTTTGCATGGAAATCCCATGGAAAATGTCAAGGTATGTCTGTTTTCACCCCTTCACTGCTATCGCATATATGCATATTGCATGCTAAGAAAAGTTCCATTATGTATGCTGGGTGGCGAGATGCATAAAATACATTTACAAATGTCAAGAGATTTTGGTAAAACCCAACAAAACATAACACGAAAAGATGAGCCATAAATTTTCCAACCTGTAGTAGAGAGGCTGAATGCTTGTGTACAATTTTTTCTTTCAAAATGAAGATACTGTAGTCTCTACCTAAGAACCAGATCACCAACAGAAAAAGCAAGTTCTTTAGTGGATTTCAGTATGCACAATTCAGCTCCTACACGTTTGCTTCCCCTTTATTTTATTGCAAGATGTGATAATGACTTGAAGGCAACACTGACACGCAAGGGAAATCAAAAGATTTGCTTAACACTTACAGTACCGAAGGCTCATACAGGAAAAAAACCCTCAAGTACTGCACCAGTTTAGAATGCTGAAGCCATGGTACAACTTTAAAGAATTATGAAAAAAACCCATCACAGCCCAAGAAACACGCTTTAAAAATTCACGGAGTTCCATCAACCATTCCTTTAGTATTTATTTCAGTGCAGTGGCTCCGTACATTGTTTGAATATGTTTAAAACTTTAATATTTGTGGTCGAGTTGGTTACTAAAGTCACCAGCAGTAATTTGAGCACGTAGTGCTGCCTGGCGACAGAAAGTTGCAGATGGTACTAAAAGTGTTTTTAAAAAATCAGATATGACCACTTGCGAGGGGAAAGTGATTGTACTATCCAAAAACCTCGAAGCTTTTGACCCACTCTGCACAGTTTATGTGCATGCCTATGAAATGTTCTGTGTAAGTGCGCATGTAGTGTGTAGACTTCCAGGCCAACTACTCTTCTTTTCACCTCAGCCTCTTCAAAGTATAATAAAACAGGTCAGAGAAATTTGTTGCCCGAGCTCAAACCAGGTTCTTAGGTGGATTTCTATTTTTAAATGGATTGTCTCTAGCATTCAAATTATAGAGGAAAAATTCTGTTACTCAGTAAAAGTGGATTCTTTGGTGGACGGTGTTCTCATGCGGAGTGTTCTCAATTTAAGCAGAGATGTTTCTGGGTTTCCGGGGCTTTGGACCTTTTTTTTGGTCAATTATAGCATGATGTAGTGCTGTTCTCAGAATTTGAAATTTTCAAACAAGATTTATAGGGTAGAGGTTCTGTTTGTTGCTGAATCTTCTTTTTTAATTCTTTGATCTTGATATTTCTTAATTATAGCCTTGACTTCCCAATAAAATTTCTTTTGTTGCATCTTTGATAAAGATTCTTTCATGGGTTGTTGGAGGGCCCCACTGGAAGGTCCTACTTCTTAACTTTCCCTCTGTTGTTTCTGTCTGTCTGTTTGTCTATCTATCTGTCTGTCTGTCTGTCTGTCTGTCTGTCTGTCTGTCTGTCTGTCCGTCCGTCTGTCTGTCTGACTGCTGTCTGTCTGACTTTTCCCCAGCACTAAATGACCATTTTTGTGTCAATTTGCTTCTCTTTACTCAAACAAACAAAACAACGATTTTTTCAAATCTCTTTCCTTTCTTTTGATAACAACATTGGAGTGTTTTTAAAAATAATTTCCAATGTTTTGTTTTGTTTCCAGGGTTACAGACAGTATGTGCTATCCTTCGTGCCCAACTTGGTTGTCTTTGACTTCAGCAGAGTGACCAAAGCAGACAGAGCCACTGCAAACACATGGAAGAACTTCAACAATCCACAAAGACAAAAGAAAATAAAGAATAATGATGATTAATATTTACCAAGTCAATGTTTGATGAGCATAAAGTGATAATGATGTAAATGATAAAGCCTTGTGGTAGCAGAAACTCTTTTTCACTAGACTGAACTAGTTTTCAAGTAAAAATCTTTCAATGGTTAATGCATGTTTTGCATGATCTCATACATTTTTGTTTTTGAAGACTCATTGAAAAGAATAAGTTAGATAGCCTTTCTTGCATTGCCTTACACATCACTGACATTGATGTTAATTATTGATAGTAAATAGTTCATTTTTTGGGGTATTTGTTTAAAATTTCAATGAGATAATAGAAATGAAAAATTATATTGTATTTTCTAAAGCAGCGTTTGGCTCTGCATGTTCTACTGAAAGATCCTGTCAGTTTGTTAGTGTGGGAGCCCCTAATTTGCTGCTTGCATTGTATGCTTCCCGGGAAACTGAGAATATTTTTGAGTATTCTTGGGTCTGCTGGGATAAATGTAGAGCACATAGAGCATGTTGCTGAGCGAGAATATGTGTGCCTATTAATTTATCATTATTTCTACAAAATCTGTCACATTTTATAAACAACTGCACTGTATTATAGAATTATGGTGACACAGCGATTGCTTTGAGTTCTTTACTTTAGAAGGTACAGAGAATCTTTGTTTTGATTCTTGTGTTGTCTCATTTTTACATTGTTATAGATCTACTTCTGTGAGCTTGAGATTTGTCAAAGTACTAGTCTAGATAAAAGAAATGGTAGTCAAAATGGTAGGTGTCCTCATTTCCCATAAGCTGAGCCATGAAAGGGGGTTACAAAAAAAAAAAAGTCAAATCCCTATATTTTGTGATAAAATTTCAAATTCTCAAGCCAAAATTTTGCAAGACTTTTCAATGGTCGAGGCGGGATGGAAAAATCACACCGAAGCAATGACTTAGTATGATGTAGAGACCTTGTGATTTTACTGACCTATTTTTATATATTGCTTGAAAACTGACACTTTTGTATTGCTCTCTTCAATGTAGATGTCAGGCTATCCAAGGTTGGAGCACATATGTTTTAAGCGATAATAATCAACCTAAAGGTCTCATGAATTTGGACTCAATCTGCCTTTTTTGTCTGAAACTGCACCAACAGTTTCATAATGACAGTTTTGAGTACTGCGTCTTGTATTATGTGATTTTATGAGGTGAGCTTTTGAGTTTTCTTTTACTGCTTTAGAACTACTCGCCGGGAAAATTACAGAAATTTACAAGCATGCGACGACCCTGCAGGGAATTGGCATGCGTGCATAACAAGGAGTTGCAACCATCAGTTTGAAAGTTGATTGAAAAGTAGAGGTTTTCCCCTTTTTTGTAACACCCTGTAATTTTTGTTTTGTGGAATGGTAATTACTGTACATATTACGTTACCATTCGTTCCCATGAGTCCATGATTGTAGTCTATAAGACTGACTACTTGTTGGAATAGTAAATCACGTTTGTTTCTTGAAATGTGAATATACCTCTCAGACTTTGTTGATAGTACAAAATATTATGTTTTTCTAAAATAATATGTTGGTGCAAATATCATTAAAATGTCTAGTATAAATAATAAATTGATGAATGTGTGTAATGCTGCTTCTTTTTTTTCTTTAATTAAATCTTGAGATGTAGGCCTACAACAGAACTCACCCTGTATGTAAGAGTAAACCAAAACCAAGAAAACCAACCAAAAGAAAATTGAACTGAATGAAGATCAAACTGCAACTAAATAATGTGCCAGTAGCATTTTGTTTTAAGGTGTTGATCTTTTTTCCTCCTTCTTTCAGTAAAAAGAAAGAAGTTATTTTAAGATTGGGAAGCATTATCCCATGGTTTGTGAACAGCTCCAAACATTGATATTTGTTCATATTAATTTCTCGTCTTTGCTTATTGTCAAGAGAGATAGCTAGTATTGTTTCTCCTTGTCAATGTTGATACTTGCAAGGGCGCCAATTTTATGCATAGAAATGAACATTTTCTATCTTTATATAAGCATTTTGTAGTAGACTGGCTCTTTCACAGCAATAGTGGTAACGTTTTGCCTCTCTGTTTACAAGGTATTTTTTTTAGGACTGTATATCACTATCACTTGGCTGCATACTAGAGAAAAATCCAGTGTTGCCATTGTAACAAATATTTGTACATAAAGAAAAACACGAAACTGCTGCAATTTTTTTGTCCGGTCACTTTTTTATGGTGTTCTTGTCCTTTACTCTAAAGTTTTGTGAACGAGGAAGTGTGAGTGTTCATGGAATAATGTTCTAGAATTGCTGCTTCACTTTTGACATTTTCTTTCAAGATGGACATTGGTAAATGGTATCAACACTATTAGGTTATTTAAGAGGCGGGACCTCCGAGTTTCATGTCCTTCTCCGAAAGGACCGAGCCAAGTGGGAATTTAGTATAAAGCGCCTTTCCCAAGAACACAACATCGGACCGAGATGAGGCTCGAACCCCCGAACCCACAATCTCACCATTACAAGATGGACACAGTTTTAGTGTGACTTTCATATTAACAAAAAAACTTGAACACAATAATGGTCACTCACTACTTAGTGATTATGAAAAGATAAGTGATCAAATTATAATATGACTAGTACGTTTTTGTAAGATGGTAGGGGAATTTAGAATATTGGCAAAACTGTCCAGGATGGCCACCCATTGTCAAAGAGAAAAGTGGTTGTCTTAGACAGGTGGATGTCTTGAACAGTATCATTATAATTTTGGGAAAATGCCGTGGGGTGGGGTGGGGAGGGGAGGGGGATGGGGGGATGGGAAGTGGTCGTTTGGACAGGTGATTGTCTTGGACAGGTGGTTGTTAGAGCAGTTTGCCAGTAGTATTTTAAGTGTTTAGGATTATCTGGGGAATTGCCAATAGATCAGTTGCGTGAAAAAAGTTTCAAAATATTCGTGTTTTTACGCCCCCCCATAGAGACAGTAAAGATCCTTTAGGAGATGGATGCGCGCTCATATGACCTTATACAGTTGCGAGCGCTGTAAAACACTTACCAAAAAAAAAAAAGAAAAAGGAGATGGACCTCAGTACTGCCTGTCGGGGCCACCTCGGCTGCCAGGGATACAACATCTCAGCAGAAAGGCACAAGATACTCTATGAAAGTTTTCCCAACTCAGGAATCAAACTCGGGTCTCTTGTGTGTGACACGACAATGAAGCACTTAACTGCTACACCACTTGAGTTCGATCCACACCAGTGTCCGTTATTTTTCTGTTTGCTTCGCACTGTGATCCCTGGGTAGGTAGGATCGAGTACATGTACCTAGTCTTCTCAGATATGGACAAAAAAACCTCAGAGGTTGTGTGTTATAGATCACTTGGTGGTTCTTAAATCGAAAAGAGTTGGCCTAGCGGAATTCCGTGAGGACAAAATTTTAAAAAAATTTCTGACCTAAAAACAGAAGTCACTTAAGCCAGTATAAATATCTAGAGTACCTTAAAAAAACGGCACTTGGCTGCCTTCCAGGCAATGGGTGATTCTATGTTTTATGCAGATAAAACGATCATTTACTTAAAATGAACAGCATTGTGAGATGAAAAACTGAAAGTCAGCGACTCTCTGAGCTCTAGCAAGAGAAAGAGAAAAAAGGGTTACCAATGTTGTTGAAAAAAGAAATACAACACAGAGAAATAACATGCCTAGAAGAAGCAGGACTAGAGCATCTTCTAAGCTCACGGCTCACACAAAGGGACAACTTCAAAGTCCCACAAAGAAGAAGTAAAAAATTCTGTAGCTGACTTGGTTTCCTAAAGGTGTCAAATTTATTTTGTAGTAATAACATAGTATATGAAAAAAGTTCAGTAACATCCACATAGTTTTTTTTTCGTTTGGACAACACAGAAAACATGGATTTCTGATTTCAACAAACAATCACAACATTTGCACTACTTCAACAAATACAGTTTTCCCCTGATGATGATAATACCATCAAAAGCACAGACAACTGGATGAATGAATACACATGGTGAGGTATACAATTTACTTGTATATATATCCACGCAAAGCAAACTCAGAATAAGGACATTGGATCAACAGTAATCTCCTGAATTTCAATTCAAATAGGTGAGAAATGCTAGTTTTGTCCCCTCATATAAGGTAAAAACAAGTAGAAGAAACATTAAATTCTTCAAGAAATGATCCACTCCAACAGAACATTGCTGGGCCCAGAATGATGTTCAGCGTAATTATATTTTAATGATTCCAACTCTCCCCCCCCCCCCCCAATTAAAAAAAAACAAAAAAAAAACCCAAATAAGAAACAACTACCCAATCTCCCTTTGTTTTTACAGTTCTTGGAGTGCACTCAGTAGTTCAGCCCACACTGTCACAGACTCAGAACTTGAGCACGGAAATACAAAGTAAAAATTGTGAAATCGGCTTTCTTGTGATCTCTCCAGCAACCACCCAAACTATGTATAACATGGTATAAAAAAGCGTTTGGCGACAAAGTTGGCTCCACCACACACGAGATGCAAGTCTTCTCTCTCACCACAACAATGTCATAATAATATACCTGATGCATCAGACCGAGGTCGTCTTTGGGGAGACATCGAGTCTATTCAAATGCACAAACATAAAACATCCAGCTATCTGTAACACCTTGGCAGATAGAAATGAAACGAAACTATAATTTTTTTAAAAGTTTGTTCTGAGGTGCAGCAAACCCTATAATCTGTCCCCGTGATTTTATGCACCCCGCATAATTTAGCCAAATTTGATCACTTTTTGCATAATATCTGATTATTTTCCTTTATCATTCTTTGTTTTGAAAAAACAGAATCGCATAATTTCACATTTTTGGGTTCAGTTTGCATAATTTCAGAATTTTTTTTCATAAAACGACGGGGACAGTATAATGGGTTCACAAGATCGCCAAATGAGGAAGCCAGAACACTTTCAACATCAGTTTCTGAGTAAAAGCAACGCAAAAAATCTTAAGTCACGTTATGAAAGTGATGGACAAGATTGCATCATGGGTGAAAAATGAGTGAGTATATCCTAAGAATAAAACTTAAAACAGTTACAGACTCCGAAAATTAAAAGACAACGCTACAAAATCTCCACAGTGGAATAATAAGTGATATTTCCTGTTGACTGAAAAATTAAAACTTTTTTACACAGTACTCTGGATCCCCAAGAAATGCCAACCTTGCTGAAATACATTTCTAAAATCAAATTTATTAATTAAATAACTTCCATCTCTCCGGGACCTAACATTGAGTATGATTGACAACACACTCTATGGAACATTACAATTACAGCAACTGCAGCAAACCTGCACTTATCACTACATGGCATTGGACAGAAGGGCGAGAGCCCACAACAACAACAAATAACTTCGATTATAAAATATGGTCAGTATGATTTACGATTATATGGTCAGAATGCTGCTTAATTTCTACATCTATATATTTTTGAAAATTTAGGAAATGAACTGTGACCACAAAATCAAATCAGCTTATTTTAAATTTTAGTAAGGGTTTTACAGCACTTGCAACACAATTTGGGCGTATGAATGCAAAAAATTGGAGGTGTTCCGAGACAGTAACATAAAAAGAAAGGAAGGATAGCTGTTACACGAGAAAAAAAGGAGCAAAACACACCAGAGCACCCACCAACCACCCACAAAGTGAAAAAAGAATAGGGAAAATCTGCTTGATGCAAAAACAAAGAAAGTGTTTTAACATTATCAGTGCAAACACTGTACACACGAGAACAACCATCATTCCGAACATATTCAGCCAACATCATTACAAGTAAAAACGTAATGGACAAAATAACAACGATGTCATTCTGAAGGGAACAAATGAAACTGCTCATGTCTGCCACGCATAGGATCACATACGGATAAAATAAATGACTAGCTAATTTTGCTGTCAACAACAGGAGAATAAAAGTGTTTGCAAATCCCCCCTTCCCCAGAATATAGTGTATTATTTTGTGAACACAAAAATGTCACATTTTAAAATAAACACATATGCATCGTGATTAAAAAATGAATTTCTTGCATAACTTTTTCTGTGAACAAGTAGAGGTTTCAAAGTCTAAGCTTACATTTATGAAAAGGTAATGATCAATACATGGAATGACCAGAAAAGAAATTGCCAGTACCTGTGGATAAGAAAGCTGTAGATCAACGCTTCTCAATTTTTTTTTTAGCCAGCACCCACTTTTGCCACCTTTACTTTAAGAGAATAAAGTTTTTCACATGGCTTACTAACAACATGCATTTCCAAGTGGGGCATTAAACAACACTTGTCACTACCCGGGCGATCCCAACAGCCCACCAAAATTACTAAATTGTCCACTAGTGGGCAATATACCTCCCCCCCCCACCTCAAGTTTGGCAAGCACTGCTGTAGACAGATGTTAAATCAACACTTTGCCATCATATTTTGGGGAAAATAAAAAGAAACTGGGTGGTAAACATCGCCAATCAGCAAGATGAGGCGGCAAAGTGTTAAACTCAGCAACTATTTAATATACGTACAGAAATGAAAGTATGTATTACAGATGATCTATATACAGTCGGGTACATATGACACAAACACGGAAAACTCAAAATCTGCTTGATACAAAAACAAAGAAAGTGTTTTAAAATGGCAGGCAATTTGCAATTCCCCGACTGATATCTCTTTAATTTTTCGTTACTGGCTAACCCAATTTATGGATGTGTTGAACAAATAAGCCAACCCCTGATAGGTTTGAGTTATCCGTGTCTGACTGTAGTACCAAAAAGTATAAAAAAGAATCATTTCAATACACGGTAGTTCCACATTCTTTCCTCAAAAAAATGACCCATGAGTGCCGAAAGAATATGTACCATAAAAATGATGCAGCATGTTGAATAAGTATCTATTCAACCACCGCATTTAGTTTTATTTAATTGGAATAAAGTTCTGCAGATTCCATTAATCTCAAAATACTGTAATACAGAAGCGACAAAGTATTCATTTTGCTTGCCTGCCATTTTAATTAAGAGCTCCAATTTCAGAAAAAAAAAATAAAAAAAATTTTTGCTTTTGATATTATAGTTACTGATCTATTAAAGTCTCCATTTGCAGCTCCCAAATATTCACTATTCCACTTAAAGTATTGACTGAAATAAGGCCTTCTGATTTGGTTTTCAAAAGACTTAGACAATTAAACTGCGTAATACATAATGTCCAAAACATTGGCCCCTTTTCTGGAAACTTTAACGTACTTGCTACAGACATCAAGAAGCACTATGAACAGCGTTTTACACACAGAAACAACTTTCTCGTTACTGAAATGAAATCTGCACAGATGAATTTGAGTGGTGAACATAAAACAAAAGCGAGACACTGGGATGGACGTTAATTTCAGAAACAAAAGCACAATAAGTCGTTATCCGGTATTGAAATTTAAAAAAAAAACGCATACAGAAAACACTCACACATAAATAATTTCAAATGTACAGCTGATGAAAGTTGAAACATTGATGGGCCACAACACTAGTACAATCAGAAGTAAGTTGTTATGAAAAGGGTGTTTGTTCCTTGGTCATAGTTTAAGCATCACGTAAAGAAAGCATTTTTGTTCAAAGGCATTGCTGTGACAAAGCCAAAAGGAGAATACGTATAATTCACAACAGAGATCCAGATTTATTTCAGCGGAAACCCCATTCAGCACCTCAAAACAGAAACCAGCTGAACAAAAAAAACACAAAAAAAACCAAAAAAACAACAACCTGGAAAAAAAGAAGAAAAAAAAAAAAGCACTTAAAAAATCAAGTTTCTCTTTGTGGTTTCACTTTTGAACTGGCTCCATCAGCAAACTATCCACCCAGAGAGCAGACATCAATCAGCTTGTCTCTCAGGACATAATGCTGCTTACAGGACTGGTTGATGATGCAAACTTACACAATAAAAGCAAAAAAACCCAAAACAACACCCCCCCCCCCCCCCCCCCCCCCCAGGAAAGAAAAAAGAAAGGGGGGGCCCCTCCGTGGCCCCCGTCCAAGAACCTTTCCATTAGGAGATAGGAAAAATGTGTACTTTAACGGGCTAGGCTCGTAAGCGAAATTCAAACGGCACAGCTCAATCCCTACCACTACCAGATGCCCTCCATTGTTTTTTCTATGACGAAATACTGATGTCTGATGGAAGATACAGACGTTTGCTTTTTTAAAAAGAAGATTAAATAAATGTGTAAGTGCATACATGTCGAGAGGTGTGCATTTTTTAGGGTGCAAATGAGAACCAGAGAATTTTCACAACAGGACATTTATCACTATTTTTCAGTTTTAGTAGAGGTTTTACGGCGCTCGTAACTGCATAAAGTCATATGAGCGCCAGAAGATTAGAGGTGTTACAAGAGAGTAACAAACATAAAAAAAAAAAAAAGGACAGATAAGGACGACAGATGTTAGATACAGCAAACCACACCAGAGCACCCGCCAACCAGTCACATTTATCACTACGATTTGATAGAGTATAGAAACTATGACACAACACCAGGCGCAAAGCTACATCTAATCAAAAGAGAAGGGAAAGTAATGACCATGACGGGGACAGCTTAAACGAGAAAACTGGACATTTTGACGGCGTAGGAAGAGCGAGTGATTGTCATCATCATCATTGCCTTTCTCACCCTGCACCAGGGTATAGGCCACGAACAAACACCTTCCACCTTTCTCTATCCTGGGCTAGCCTCTTGAAGTTATTCCATGTCTTCCCACTTTTCAGTACATCGATTTCTGGGAGCGAGTGATTGCGCCAATTGGAAATCACTTTGTGAATGACGTTCTCCGCAGAGCTCAAGAGCATGTCTAAAAAAAGTTCTATGTAAGTCTTTGTGCAGCGTGTAGATTCCGTTGTCTGCTAGTCCGCACCCACTCCTTGTTCTCCACCCTAACCTACACAAAGTGTTGTAAATCGGCTCAGGAGACAAAATCAATTGCCCTGAACCCAAACCTGGTCCACAGGTGGACTTTCATTTTTACATCAGTTCTTAGGCATAAAAATTATACTCCCCCCCCCCCCCCCCAAATTTGGTTATGAGGTGAATGTGGGTTCTTGTTTCCTTCTATCAGCCAAAATTAATCTAATGGATCTTACTGAACAGTCGGAATCAAATCCACGTTGTCATTTTCAGAATTTGCAAAAGTTATTCTATCATTGACGTTTTTAGATCTAGATCCACCTTGTTCAACATGACAAAAAAAGTTAACCATTGGCAACATCAGAGACGTGGATAGTGAGACTGAATACTGAGACTGAAAGCACATAAAACTGTGTAATATAGAGTACAGCGTATAGAGCTTGCTTTCGAGTGGGGATATGTGCTATACAAATGCTATTTTCATTATTATTATTTATTATGTTGTATTGTAACTTGAAAACAATCTTGATTTGGAAAGTGACTCGGATTCTAGATCCAAAATTGTCCGTGACACAAAGAGCTGATACTCGAAAAATACCTTTTCAAGCATCGAATTCTCACAAAGAAAGGACACATCACTTCCATTTTTAACTCGACTTATAGTATGAACATGGATTTGGAGGACAGGATGGAAATGTGTATTTAATTAGGGGATGAGAAAATGACACACTCCGAGTCGTTCTGGTGGAAGCGGGCGGATGGAAACGACACAAAGCATGTCGTCCTGGCCGATAGGGAGTTCATGGAGTGTTCTTGGGCGGAGACCACTGTAATAACATCACAAACAAATACAGACATATATAATATATATTTGAACATGCAGTCAAATCTTCAAAGCACATCTCACTTTGAACAGTCAGTCAAAAGGTCAATTAAAGAGGATGAGGAAAATCTCTTGCAGAAGCATCTTTCATCAATAATACCCTTTCACGAGAACTCTGCCGCATCTTTTCTTACCCCCCTCCCCAATAAATTGTAGAAGAGATACAGACAATTTATCAACTACGCATGTAAATACAAATTGTTTCTAAAAAATTCAGTAAAAAAACTACGAAGTACTGAAGCAGAACTTCCAAATCTTTTGAAAAGCTCTTAAAAAGATGAAAACAATGAGAAAAAGAGGGAGACCATCAAGTTAACCAACAGTCAGTACACAGTGATAGGAAAAGTTTGTCTCGCCTCAGAGTACCCTACATGTGAGGTCCCAACAAAGCTGTTTACTGCCCCGTTCTAAGAGCTGTGTCACCCATGAAGCACAAGCAAAACAATGGTGAACATTTGTCTCAAGAGAGAAAGAATGTTATAAAGTTTTGCCCCAAAATTATTGCATTCTAATCAATAATCTCCACAGTCTAAAAAAAAAAAGCTTGATTATTCAATTCTGTTTCAGAGCTTTCTTCCCACCCTTGTAAAATCACACGGACTGCTTAGTCAACTTGGTATTCGACTCCGCCATACACCATTTTGAAAAGTGACATATGAAGGAGTTTTACACTGAGCAGTACTCAAGTTCACAAATGCATACTCACACATACACATAAATTTCATATACACATTTCACATTGATAAATAAATAAAAGCAAGATGAGATTACTGCAAGCACACTACATTCATCCTTCCCTCACTCAAAACAGAAAGCTCAACATCACACACTCATGCTCAGGTCTCACACAAAAAAATGGGTTTCAATGACTCAATGACACATTACTACTATTACACATTGTCATACAAAACTGGAATTCACAAGGGAAGCAAGTCCCAAACACATTAGTCTATAAGCATAGTTCATAATATCTCAAATGCTCACTCATTCTCTGTTATAGAGTTTCTTCATGCAGTTACAAAGCAAAGCAATCAAATTAAAAAAAAAAAAAAGAAGGGAAACAATGCTTACAAAACTCTGCACATTCCAATACATCCTTCCCCATGTTATGTTCTTGTTTACATGTGATTGGCACATTGTCATATTTCAAACAGCACATCGCATCTCAACATAATAAAACAAATTGCAAACATTCTAGACATACTTGCAAGTTTGCTGCAATGATTTTACATTCGTATATTTTTGTATTAGTATCTAAAGAAAAAAAAAAGCCACAGTCACACTCCTAATCTTGGTTAACATATTTTAAGAAACTCTTCTTAGTTCAAGAAAAGAACAAAAACTTTGAAAAGAATATATTGTGTCAAAAAAAAAGGAGGAAGGAAGAAGGGCTGCAAAATACAGTGGACACCATTTAAATCGAAATCTTCTCCACCACATGATTTTCTTCAGTTTATCTGCTGTTTTCAATTTAGAAGGATAGCTCGAATAGGGAAGACATACATGTTCACAAGTATTTTACAAAGCATGCTAACGACAAAGCAATCCTGAATTCTATTTTCTTTCAGTTTGCTGCTGTTTTCCGATTAACCTTGTTCCAATTAAGTGGACTCCACTGTATTCTCAGAAATGTTTGTAATAGCGAGTAACTTCCTTAGAAAGTCAATGAGTCAGTCACTATGTAAAGTATCCTCAGCAGCAGCCCCTCTCTGCAACAAAGGTAATAGACCTAATTGCTGCATTTTAATATAAGCAATATTTTGTGAGGATAAGAGAATTTCCCCCACTTCAATGCAAACAGCGGATTATAATTTGTGCTCACACTAATTGATACTCATTAAGAGGAAAGAAAAGCTAAAAAAAAACAAAAAACACACACAAAACAAAACCACGAAAGAAAAAAAAATTAAAAGTCTTTTCCAATTTAATAATATGCAACTATTCTGCAAGTGTCAAAATGTACATATCAACCATGGCTCGACTTAATTCTGAGTTTGATTAACTAATATGCACTACCTGCTTGCATGTGAAGTCATGAGCAATGTTCTCAAAGGCATCATACATGTTCCCATGTATTGCTAAGTATGCTAATGACAAAGCAACAAAAAGAACATAGCCATCAGGGGTATGCCTCCATTTTACGAAGTAGTGAAAACTGAGGTTGCAAAGTCACAGGCAAGAGCTAATCTCGTAACTGGAAGGGATGACCATACTGAAAATTCTGGACAATCAAAATAAGTACTCTCTACTACGACCCAAAATGCTCGACATACTTTTTCTTCCATTTCTGTATTCAGTATACCAGGCGCCCTTAGAGACCTATAGAGAAGATGTTATGAATATCTGCTCCATTCACTGAAGAATCACAGTTTGGTAGAAAGAAGGGAAGAAAACATCAGAGCTTCAGGGTTGTCAAAGTTTTTCATCCACTGCTGTTCAGTCTTCTAATAATTCTTTGTGCAGACCATGAGGCACAACACCAGTTTTACAGAGCTAGAAAGAGGCAAGAGAACGGCGAAAAGAAAAAACAGATGACAGGATAAAAGCGCAACTAGATCTGCCAATCACTCTATGATAACAAAATAGAAGTTTTCCTCAGAATAAAATAATCAGTCTTCAGAACAGAAAAAAAAATTGGATTTTGTGCAAATCAGATTGGGATTCTTTAACCCCAAAAAATATTGGAGAATTTCGATCTTTTCAGAGGGCTTGTCAGGTCCGTAGAAACATACAAGGAGGGTCCACTCAGACATTTTTCCCGAATTTTAAGAAAAACAAAAACTTACATTAGAATATTCTGAGGTACACACAAGTGTTTCCTGCATCATGCACTTATTTCTTGTGAACAGATCATCGCTGATGACAACCAATATCCATCTAATTTTCTATAGTATAGAGTCACTTTTTGCAGCTTTCTTCAACCATAGAATAATTGTCAGTCACTGCAATAACCCTTGATGAGTTTCAGTAGAAAAGAATATTACTTTTCAGAAAAATGCAAGCAAAAATTTGTAGTGGTGTTTACAGGAAACTGTGATCTTTACAGACTATAACATATTCACTATTTACTTAAATCATCCATGCTTGGTCCCTTACCCTCTGCATGTGACATAATGCACTCAGTTCATGAATCCTACTTTAGATTCAAATTCATAGCTGTCAAGAGATCCTTTGTTGTTGTCATTCCTGATGAGATGAACGCAAATACAAATGAAAATTCTGTAAAAGTGTCCAAAAGCCAAAACAAATTTGTCTGAAACAGATCTTATGACAGGAAAAAGTGTTTGTTGCCCTCACAACAATAGTAAAAAGGGGAGGAGTTATATCTTAGAAGACGCCAAAACTAAAAACAAATGCCATTCTGGTCACCAAGTATTTCCTAATCCTTTTCTTGCATAAAGCCTGAGCTCACTTAATTGTAGTACACGTTCTTCTTCTTCTTCAAGTGCCAGATCTGAAACAAATGTTGACCATCATGGTTTGCTATTCATTTATCTGTTCAGCTGTTCTCTAACATACTACTCCAATACATATGTAGACAACCAGAGGTGCTAGCTTGCTATGAAAAAGAAAATCCTCAACTTTTCCTACTCCACGGAAATGATCCTGAAGGGGAACAAAGATTTACGGAATATATTATCTAATACATCTTGTGTAAAGACTACTTTTATATAAAACGCAATATGACATACACAAACAGATTAATATATAAACTGGTCTAGTCAAATCTGGACAATTTCCGAAATCCAGATAATTTCCTGATGCATTCGGAAAATGGGCGCCTCTGTATTACCCTCAATATCTACATTGCTGCAATGACCTTCACAACTACACGCTATGGTAACATCTGACGAGAGATATTCATAACCCTGTTAGACCATGAAGCACAAAGCATAATCAAACGGTGAGTAAAAATCGTTTTCCCAATGATGTAACAAACAGGCAAGCTGGAAGCAGAATGACAAATATTACAATGAAGTTGTTCCGGAACAATCGTAAAAGTGTTGCAAAAGACTGGACCTACGGAATTCTTAACTAATTTCTAGTTTTATCTTTTCCCTAAATTTCTGTTCATCATCTTATTTCCTATCCCCCTCCCCCTCCCCCCCACCCCCGACTTACAGTTTTACCAAAGTAATAACATTCCATAAATATACATATTACCATTCCCACTCAGACGCTCATCTTTCATTCTACTCATGACTTCTCAACAATACACTCTATCATTAAAATAGATTACCTCTACACACGAGAACACTACGAATACTCTAAGGCTACTCCAGGCCTAGAGTCCAGTTGATGACCTGCACGATTCCGATGATGACCGGCTGCCACGCCACCAGGTACCTGATCCAGTCTAGCAGGTTGCCGTACATTACATGTGGACGTTCCCAGCTGAACACGAGTTAAGGCATAACCATAATCAAACCTATTCTTACGGCCACCTGTCCAAGACAATTATGTGTATGAAAGACTACTTCCCTTTAAAAAAAAATTTTTTTTTTAAAAAGTAAGAGTTTTAACGCACTTGCAACACAATAAGGTCATATAAGTGCTGAAGATTAGAGGGGTTACAAGAGAGTAACAAACACGAAAAAAAGAAGGAGCAAACCACACCACAGTACCCACCAACCATCCATTACTACTTTCAATCTTTTAACAATTGTACCTACATTATGTATTTTTAATTGTTTTTTTTTAATCTCCAAATTTAGAATTTGAATTTCTACAAACTATTTCTTACCAAAATGCAAATAATACCACAGATTAAGAAATCGCATCTATTATCTATTTGTGGTGGCTGAATTTTGCTATTCAATAGGCTTTTTAATGGCTGCATCGATGGACCTGCAGTTTTCGCCTAAAGACTCTTTAAAATATTCTCCAGATCATGACGCCCTTCGTTTTTTCAGTTTTGAGATAGTTTTACTGCAAAAAGCTAAATTTCTTTATTTCGCCGTCCGCTTTTGTAGGCCTACGCTTCTGTCTCTGTAATTTTAGAAAATCCGCCAAGTTTGTTTATTTCAAGTCGTACTTCCGTTCGGTACTATCGCGCATTGTTGTGCAATACTGAGCACTATTTTAAGTGTGCAACCCGTATAGATCAAGCCTCATGTTTTCTTTTTTTACTTGGTGCTAAATTCGACTGTGATGCTTTCGTTTGATGCCCATCATCGCTTTTTTATTGCTCCATGACAGTAGCGTGTAAATTAATACAGTAGGCCAATATCTTTTAGTTGATGTTAAGCACCGATCATTCCTTTCATCGAAAGGGGGCCCAGCTAGTTTTCTTCTAATTTCAAAATTTGGGCATAGCACAACTGATCTACATTGTGTCGATGGAGGGTAAAAAAATAAAATATGCTGGCTGATAATTTGTTATGGTACTTTGTTTGCTTTTGTGGGGGGGGGGGGAACTTTGAGAAACAACTAAACCAGACCACGATCTAGCCATGAAGGAAAAGCAATATTATGTGCACATCACTGAACAAAAGGATACGGCCCTGGGAACATCCGCTTCAGATCCACCTTTTCCTTGCAGTAGGGGCAGGTCTGCTTCTTGCCCACAATGCACCAGCCTCGTATACAAAACTCATGGAATCTGTGTCTAGGTTAAGGAACACACATTAATTTCATTTGCAATGGGGGGAAAAACATCATACAATATTTCATTCGTAATGGGGCAAAAACAATCTGTGACAGATTTTAGTTTTAGTAACAGTTTTAAAGCACTTGCAACACAAAATAGGTCAGTAAATAGAAACACACTGACGCAGTAATGGTCATTTAGTGCTGGGGGAAAGAAAGACAGACAGGTAGACAGAAGCAACAGAGAGACAGTAAAGAAGTAGGATCTACCAGTAGTGTCCTCCAACCCTCCGTTAAGTGCCGGAGTTGTTTCTTGAGAGTATTATACAAAGTAAAGAAGAAGGAGACATGAGGACTGCATATGTTTGATAGGAAAGACGGAGCAAACTACACCAGAGCAACCGCAAACCACCATACAATATCTTTCATTCAAAATTAGGCAAAAAGAATCCGTGTCAGAGAAGGCCATAATAAAAACATGAAATTAAAAAAAAAAAATCCAATACATCGCATCTCCTCCTTTCATAAAAAAAATAGACCACTTTCCCCAAAATCCCTCCATCCTCGAAGTCCTGACACATACATCAGCCCGACACACTGGCAGAAGTTATACGGACGGCCCTGATCAAGGCTTCAAAGTTCGAACATATTGAATCAATATTTCACATTCAAAATTTACTGAAAATATTTTAAACATAACCCTATTCGATTAAAATCTTTGTTGTTCAATTACCACAAAAATTTGGAACACAGTCAAACCTGATCTAACGACTTCCAGCTCAAGACAATTACTAGTTCAAAAAACAACTTCTGACTTTGCATTTTTTTAAAACATAATAATACTGTCCAGGGTGTCAACCACCACTTTTCTCCTCCAAAATGACAGGGGGGGGGGGGCATTCTCGGACAGATTCTATTACGTATACATTTTGTTCAAAAGACAAAGGAGACAATCTGGTGAAGTACAGTACAGGAAAAAGGATACACATGTCCACAGTTGAGTTTTATTGTCTTCTCTATGACAGCATTGTCGTTGCTCATCATGTAGATCTCGTTGCCACACACAGCACACATTCCAGGGTCCAGTCGCTTGGCTGGCAGACCAGTAGCTGAGTAATACTGGAGAAGGAAATAGTATAATAAAAGATAGCATTTGTATAGCACAAATTCCTGCTCAACAGCAAGCTCTATGCACTTCGCAATCTATATTATTACCCCAGCAGACCTGAGAGCATTCTGAAACAATCTAAACTTCCTGGAAAGCCTACACTGCAAGCTGCCATTTTACAGGCGCTAAAACGCTAACATACTGACAAGATCTTTCGCTGTTTATGGCCGGGTACCCATTCCCACCTGGGTGAAGTGAGGAAAACTTGTGTAAAGTGCCTTTCCATAGGGCACAACATCAGGCCTGAAACTTGAACCCCAGAACCCGCAACCTCACGATTAAGAGTCCGGTAGCCTAACAATAGACTAACGACGTCTTATTTGACCCATTATAAAAGGGCAAAAACATATTACTACTGACAGCAAAACAAGTCGAAAAGTGAAGTCAATCTTTTTAACTACCACAATGTTGTCTTTTTGAATTCTAACTCATCCCTCAATGGAATCAAAGAAACCCTCCGAAAAAAACCAACACAAGGATCTTTAAGGCAACACACCTGACCCACATCTGACAATTGCTACTCCCCTTGACTCCTTGCGTTACAAGAGGACAGAAAAAGTAAAAAGTAAAGTTGCTCAGCCCTGAAACTGTCTCAGATTGCTCAAATATTCTGTTTAACATTCTCAGTGTTAATCAGTAGCTAAGAGCTCAGTCATCGAGAATGAGAAACATGATACTTTTACATTTATTTAATATACTCATTCATCCATGTAACTACTAAAATATTTACAGGAATAGTATATCACTGACAATGGTTCCATTCCCATCCCACTTAAAAAACAAAACAATCAACAAAAACAACAACCCATTAACACTCAAAACCCCCCCAAAACCCACATCAAAACATCAAAATAACCACAGCCCCCCCCCGAATAATAATAAAAAAAACAACTATAAAGTATAAGAATTAAAGAACAAAATATTGCACATGCATCAAAATGTACATGACACCCCAGATGCATCCAAAAATAAATGCATTCCTATCCATCCAGCAGACCCAGAAACATCCTCTGATGGACGCACTCCAGCACAACTAGCGTCTGTGGTGAAGCAGTGAGGTGCTTCCACACTGCATACAAATGACCAGGAGTTCCATTCCTGAGGAGAATTTTTTATCAAATATCTTCGTTTTTCTGCTTGGATATTGTATTTTTCACAGCCTGGGTTGTCCCTCACAGGCTGCCTCCTAAAGGATCTAAACTGTGTCGATGTGGTAGTAAAACACACCTACTAAGAAAAAACAAACAAAAAATCAACCGAACAAAAAAAATAATTTTCTATAAAGGAAATAAAAACAACAAATAAAACAAAAGCAAAAACAAAACAGAACCAAAACAAAACTGAACTCCAACACATCTTCCACACTCACCCCGATGTGTGATGCCATTATGTCTGCGCACACTTCGGCAAAGTCTCGGGACACCACGCCGAAGTAGAGGCCGTAGAAGAGCAACAAAAGCCCAAAGTCCATGGCCACCTGCGGCTTGACTAGCACCAGCATGTTCAGGCCAAAGATGGTGAACATGATGATGAGGTATCCGATGATCCCCGAGGTGTAGCTGATCTTGTAGAGGAGCAGGAACCACTTGTAGACCCACCTGTTTCGAATCGGAGATGGGAGAAAGGAGAAAGAAGAAAAGAGAAGGGAGAAAGGAGCGTGAGCTTAGTAAGGTAGTAAAAATAATAGAATTGAGAACCAAGAATAAACAACAAGTATGAAATAAAATGTGTCAGGAAACCGTGGAGTCAGGCATTTGGAGTTATTGGTATCGTCTTCAGACTTGTTCATTTGAATCGATTTGGATTTTTAAAAAAATATCAAATTCTTGAGCCAGTACCCAAACCCTAATGAAAAAACAAAAAACTCAGCGTACTGCACTGTGTATTATTACTAATATTTGTTTGATTATATTGCATATTATCAATCTGAAAACATATTTTGAGTTAAAACATGGTTAATTTTGGGTTGGGTTTTTTTTTCTGATCGTTTGATCTGTGGTATCTTTTCATTTTAAAAAAATAAACCTTAAGGAGAAATCTTTAGGTCTCAGCAAGAGATAAATACCTCATATCTTCTGACTCAACTCTTTAACATTTTCTATTGTTTCGATTACAAATGAAGGGGTAGACGTTATTTATTCTCGCGTCTCTTAACCCTATCCGTATGCCCGGGGATCATTTTGTACCCCTGGGATTGTATTCTTCACACTTTAGAATACTTCTAGTACGAAGACCTCTTTGAAACTTTCAGTATTTCTCAAAAAATTATTTTGAAAGACAGCTATACAAAGCGTACAGATCGGATTAACAAGTAAATTTCCTCTTTGGAAAGTGATGCAACAAAGTTCCCCACGTCGTATGGATACCATAGAAAAACATGACATACGGATATGGTTAAATTATTCAGTAGTCGTCGCCTCAGAATATTTGGTCCGAAGTCACTCTTTATCTAAGTACACTTTGGACAAAATAGTTCTGAGGCTATGTAGTTTTCACAGGGGCATTAAACCTATACCATTTCACTGTTTAGTAGATATTATTATTCATTACCTTGGTGTAGATCCTGACAACGGTTTTCTTGAAGCCTTGAATGTGACAATTGCAGTGATGACAGAAAAAATGCTCCACAGCACAGTGAACCGCCACCAGGCAAACTTAATACACAGTCCCACAGGTATCAGCCACATGCCAAGCAAAGTTGCTCGCTGTACAAGAGTAAGATGGAAAAAAAGAACAATGGAAAAACCACCAGGTAAAGCAAGATTTTAGAATACATGAGGCAATGTGCAAGAAAAGATATCTACAGCTTGAAAAAACTGCAGAATTTAAGATTACATGAAGTAACGTGCAAGAAAAGATATTTACAGGTTTTTTTGGGATTTTTTTAGTACAGGTTTTACGGCGCTTGCAACTGCATAAGGTCATATGAGCGCCAAGGGGTGGATGTCAACAGAGAAGTTCTTACAGGGAATCAGACTTACTCTGCTCACCTCTCTAGCTTCAACAGCACAAGGTCTGCTTCGACTATCAAGGCACCCCGGAAATAGCGGGTCATAAGAGTGTGACAAACATACAAAAGAAGTAGAGGAAAATGACAATAGTAGGGATTAGGAAAGAAAAAGCAGCAGTTCCCTGTTGCAGTTCAGGTACAGTTATGAGCATGACATTGTTCGATCAGCCCATTTACACTTCTACTGTGCATTAGAACGAGAAATGTCCCCCCCTTTGGGAATGGCCTAAAGACACTTCAGTCAGTGGCACCGCCCCGCGGGGTATTTAGAGTAAAATAAAAAAATCCAAACTAAGTGAAAGGTGTGAAAAATTTCAAGGAGTATTTATTTACAGCACTGTTCCCCCTTAGAAAAGCACAGTCTTAGTTCGTACTTTAGCCGCTCTAGCGTGCAGTCAAAAGTTTCAGAGTTGTAAAACAGCACAAAAATGGTTCTAAGACCAATAGGATAAAGAATGGGCTTCTTGAATGTGATTAGGCTCTAGATATGTAGCCTTATGTGTATAAAAAAGAGAGAAAGAAGACTGTGAGTGTATGTGAGTGTGTGTGTGTGTGGGGGGGGGGGGGTGTGATAGAGAGAGAGAGAGAGAAGAGGGAGGAGGCGAGAGAGAAAGAGGGAGAAAGAGAGAGAGGAAGAGGGAGAGGGGTGTGATAGAGAGAGAGAGAGAGAAGAGGGAGGGGGCGAGAGAGAAAGAGGGAGAAAGAGAGAGAGAGGGAAAAAGGGAGAGGGAAGTAGAGAGAGAGAGAGAGAGAGAGAGAGAGAGAGAGAGAGAGAGAGAGAGAGACAGAAGGGGGAAAAGAGAGAGAAACAGAGACAGAGAGACAGAGGAAGGGGGAGGGAGAGAGAAAGAGGGAGAGAGAAAGAGGGAGAGAGTGCGCGATTTTCATACCCATGGACACACTGTTTGGCTAAGCTTGTGTGGCCGACCTGATATAGTTAAAAAACACAAAGAAAGATTGAAATTAACTGTTGAAGCTAAGGAACTTTTGATGGCAAAATTATAAACATGCAAGTAAAGGGCAAAGAGGGGGATGTGTACGCGCGCATGTGAGTGTGTGTGTGCGTTTGTGTGGGCATGGGTGTGCATGTGTGTCCAATGCACAGTGAAAATGGTTCTCTCTTGTTCTTCTGATGCACAATTATATTATAATCAACGCAAAACCCCTTGAATTCTTAATATCATAATGACACTGTTCAAGATGTCCACCTTTCTATAACAACCACATTTCTCCACCACAATGGGAGGCGGTCTTGTCTTTGCAATTTCAACTGTGGTCAATAATTACAACAGTACCTGGTAGGACTTGAAGTGCCGAGTCTTCCACTGAAACAACACGATCTGGGCCATCATGAGAGTGCCCAGGAGGATTAGCGCCATCTCTGCGTGCATTGACTCGTGCCCTCGGTGCTTCTCGTGAAGCTTCTGATGCTCCAACCTGGGGAAACGAGGAGGGGATTCGAAATAATGTAGATTCTTTTCCTGAAAGACTTTGAGGCAAGATATTTCGCTACCTCAGAATTACAAAGTTCTATCTGCTCAGCACCTAGTTTTGAGAAATTTGACATAAAAATGTTTGAGTTTCACATCATGTAAAGCTTTTCCGAAAGCAGTTCTTTGAATATCTTGATAATGACTCCAAATAATCTTATGATTTTGAAAGAGCAGATAGAACTCAAGTAATCTGACCGAATGGTCTTCGCAACTCAAAAAAGACCAAAATGTCAGATAGAACTTTGAAGTTCTGAGGCAGTGATTTGTTCGAGTGAAATAAAAATGCATTGATGAGAGTGTATGAGGAGATAGATGCTTTGAAAAATTTCCTAGCATTGAGAAAATAAATTTAAATTAACTTCTGTACAGTGTTAAAGAAGTGTTCAGTCTTCGTCTCTTACAGGCATAGCGTACTAGAGTCCACGCTATTCCATCGAAGAAAACCCGGTCTTTGGTAAAGGACGAGGGGGGCTCTTGTGGCCTAGAGGTTAAGGTGTTGGCCTCTCATTCAAAGGTCCCGGGTTCGAATCCGGGTAGCGACCGAAAAATTTTCTTCTCTAAAATTGTCTCCTTTCACCTCCTTTCCTGCTCTCTAGCAATGTTCTGTCGTCTGCTTTCAATTCCACTTTCTGCCCCCACCCCCGCACCTCCTTTGCCCCCTCCTCTGGGCTCCTGACTCTTTCTGCAGCCTTTCTACTGCTACTCCTTGGCTCCTCCTTACTGCTGTCTTTCTGCCACACCCCTGATCTTCTGGTGGGAAAGATCTACACCTAGCCTTCTCGGACAAGGGCGAAAAATCTCGGAGGACCCGTGTGCAAGTTGCGCACGTTAAAGATCCCTTGGTGGTCTAAAATCGATAAGAGTAGGCTTCGGCCGCCACCCGGGCAAAATTCAAAATTTCCTACCAACTGAAAATATTAGGTGTGTCCCGCGCGCTCATATGACCTTATGCAGTTGTGAGTGCCGTAAAACACTTTACAAAAACAAACAAAACAAACAAAGGACGAGGCTCGCCTTGATTAGAGCCAGCCAATTACTAACACTGGCGCATCGTTACATTACCTGATAACGTGATAACGTAATTAGGGTGTTGAGCGTTAAGCGCGAGCTCGATGAATCCATTGTTTGCACACAGCAAAGTTGCTGATGGAGTAACTCGTATCACTGTTCTTGTGGATTATTATTCTATTCTAAAGGATTTACTGTGAAGTGTGATTAAAAGATGTGATTTGATATATACGTTAATGATGACAACACAATTGTTGAATAAGCTTTGATGCTAATCCCTCTTTAACCGTTGGCCACAGTGAGAAAATAAAGGCGGGTATCTAAGTGAACTAACTACACACACAGCCAGCAAGAACAATGGGGAGGAAGTGCAGTACGTATGGCTGTAGAAGTGGTTATGCCGGAGTTTCAGATAAAATACCAATGTATAGTTTTCCCTTGGATCCATCTGAAAAACTAAAATGGGTGCAAGCTATGCCTGACTGACTCAGTTTAGAAGACATTACAAAATATTATATACGGGACTGTGTGCAAAGCATTTTCAAGGAGCCAGAATGATGAATGCAGGAAAATTCATGGCTCCAGTAGACCCCCCCTACTTATTTCCCTGACGCTCCATCATCATGCTCTGGAACTCCACAACCTAAATGAAGGACCACAAAGAAGAGTACAGCTGCCTCCAGGATTCCAGAGAAGGATGAGGAACTTCAAGCATTTCTCGAAAAAGACAAACTTAAATTAGACTCATTTATTGAAGAGCTAAACAGAATTCTTGTTCCCTTGCCAGACAAAATTGTATGGGAGAAAGATAGCTAAAGCTTCAGTTTTTTTGAGTGATGCCAGGGAAGGATCTGTGTATACATTTTCCATATTTTTCAAATGCCTAGAATAGATGTAGCTATAAATGGGTGCATCAAAGAATTGGCATATGAAGCTTATTCCGGGTTGAAACGAATCATGTATCCTGCAATGAACAAAGGAGTGAAATGTTGGTCCCAGTTTGCAGAACTCATCCATTTCGTATGCTGTCCATCAGCGGATTTGAAAGACGAACGCTTCAATTTTATTCACAGACAGGCTCATCTTATCAATTTGCCGAAAAACGAGAGATTGTACGAAATGGATGATCTGTGCCAGGCTTTCTTGTGGTACATCTTGTCACGACATTTGTATACAAAAGTCAGAAATGTGTTGCAACTGCCATCTATAACAACTTTACAGAGGCTCACGTGGGCATCTAAATACATGGATGATGAGACTTTATTTTCCACTTTCTTTAAAAGCCAGGAAGAAAGAAGTAGATGCTGTGTACTGATTGGAGACGAAGTTTATGTCAAAGCATCTCAGACAGATAGAGGTGATAATTTTCAACCACACTTTACATACCACCACCACCACCTTCACCATCATAATGCTCCACCTCCTCCTCCTCCTCCTGCTCGTCCTCTTCCCCCTCCTCCTCCTCCTCCTCATCATCATCATCGTCTGAATGGAGAAACAAGCAAGAGCCAGAATTTCAAGTAAGGGCTTCCCCAAGGAGCTGCTGTTTATATTCTTCATAAACACCTTCGCAGAATCCCTCCCAAACACAGACTCATAACAATTAACCTCCGCCGAGCTGATCTGCTCAATGTTCGCTGATGACTGCACAATACTGGCCAGTCACGCAAAGAGAGCAAAGGCAAATGAAGTGACACAGGTGATTGTGGACATGGTAGTGAAATGGAGCAAAGAATGGAAACTTATCTTGAATGCAACCAAGAGTATATATGTGAATGAAGAGCTCAGCCCATGTTGCCAAAGATGCAGCCATGAAAAGAAGGAGGTCAAACATATGTTTGAATGTCCAGGAACAATGGCAATTCGAATGGAGTTATTTGGACGAGTGGAGGTGCCTCTATGTATAACGACAATGGAGCCGAAATAGAGCCTCGCTCTCCCTAGAAGATTTCTTTGTGGAGTCCACCAGGCCCATTAAGGAAACTAAAAAAAATCATCATCATCATCATCATCCCCAGTCATGACACACACAAAGTTTTTTAACTTTTAATTAAATTAAAATTTCGTCCCCCATCTACTGGAACCACAACAAAGCAAAGTAAATAATTATCAACACATTGCTGCCATAGCATCAATAGGAATTTCTTTTTTTTATATTAAACCCAGAAAGAAAGCTTGAAGAAGTTGCGACTACTAAAGCCGAATTGTGTCTTCCAGTTCCTAATCACATTTATACCGGAAAAATTTTCAAGAACATATGAAGCACTGGGATACTCACCGCCATCTTTCTTTTTCAGACAGCTTCGATATATCGACTTCTGACTGAAAATAAACAAGTAAAAGGGGTTAAAATACAAATTAGTTAGTCCCGATACTTAGAGGTTTCTAAAACGCACAGTGAGTGAGAAGCTAAATCTTACAAATTTAATACAAATACAAATTATAACAAAACAAAGTGAACAAACTTAATCCCATTTCTGCATGGATTATGTAACCATATAGTCAAGGCATGAGCAACAATGTTGATGAAAGTAGGCCTACCGTACTAAAAGTAAAAATTTATTTACTCATATCAATTATCCACAGTATACAACATAAACTTTTAAAACAAATGCTTCACTCTTCGAAAGAATCTGCATTAATGTAAATTAAAGAAATAAATTAATTCAGACTGGAAAAAAAAAGAGTAATGAACTCATGAATAGGTTTATTTATCTTATTTACTTTACTAAACACTGGATTTTTGCAGAGATTAAGCATTTCGCTTCTGAAGACAAGCATTCGATTTTTGTGTGGGAAGTTTTTTTTTATCAAGTATCTCTGTCTGTCTACAGGAACATTGTTCTCCTCCCAGCCTGGGTTGGTCCTGACGTGCAGGGTCGAAGCACACCGCCTCCTAAATAATAATCTGTAAATTGTGTCAATGGGGGAAAAAATATTCGAATCAAAATTACACTTGATACTGTGATGAATAAAACGGAAGTTTGAGGACCAAAGGGATCATGCAGGAGTACAAATTTACACTAATGGAATTCAAAGTCTACTTGTGACTAGTGTATATGTGTTTAAATATTTCTTTTATCCCAAGAAAACAAAGACTGGGATTAATGAATAAAGACTCGCACCATGATATTCTTTCTCAGTCACTCCAAACCACTCATGAAATAATAAACTAATTATGTCTAATATGTAGCGCAAAAGAAAAGAACAGAAAAAAAGCTCACATAGAAAGCAAGCAGCAACATCACCATAAATAAAAAATGTTGCTGATGACCAAATACTCATGCCCAAAAACACGAAATTTTATATTTATGCCATAAATACTTAAAGTACTATGTAACGTATGACGAGCCTATTTTGTCATCTCCAAATCAGACAAACTACTAACAAGTACTCTGAAAGACAAATGTAAGAACTCGAATGGAAAAAATGTTACATCTACATAAATATTATATGAGTACAAAAGAAGCTTAAATTATCTGTGGAACATGAAAATAAACCAGAAAAAAGAACCACATAAAAGCTAGCTATATGTTGTTACTGATTCAGTCTCAATAACCATAGAAGTATATGTTCAAAGGGAAGTAAACCAGCATGCTCATCATGCCATGGGAAAGTTACGGACTCTCCAGCCTAGACTACCTGAAACCTTGAAAACAAGACCACATTTTTTACCACAACTTTAAGATCAAAGGAGAAACCAAAAAAAGCCTGTCACCTACCAAACCCTAAAAGCATGCTGCACTTAAGCTGATAACTCAAACTCATCAAAAGAGACCCAAAAAATCATTGAGGGCAGAGCCATACAAAGTAAATCAAAAGGAGAAAATGGAAAACAAGAAAGAGCAGAAATTATTGAAAAACAGCCTTATACGACTTGTTCATAGCACTCAACAATTCCTGAAATATTCCATTCATGTTGTCAAAGAACACACCATTCTGAAGAAATGACAATTATGCTTTGGAAGTAACACACTAACCCCACTGATGAATCTTAAGAGATAAAGGAATTATATGTTTGCATTCACTTTATCTGTTACAGCAAACTATGTAAGGACAAAATGCTAAAGGTGTCCTTTTCTTTTCACAACCAAGAGTGAACATTATACTATATAGGGAAAAAATTATGAAGTCTGCTGATAAAAATCTGTCTTAAAAAAAACACCCCTAAATGAATTCTTTCAATGCGAGGAAAAAAGGCTCAAAACGAAAAGGGTTGCTTTAATTTAAGTGGGACTAAGGGAGTGCTTAGGGTGATATATTTCTTACGTCCATCACGAAATGTTCTCTACTGTATCTCGGGAACTTCAGCCTAAGCTTCATTTTCCGCTCAAATGCTGGAGTAATCAGAGATCAACTATGGCTGTGGAGCCCGAAGTAACAAATGTTCAGGAAATGTTTCAGACAGGAAGCACTTTGACTTTGCAATAAAGCAATTTACAAATGTCTTTTCCTGCTTTCACGTTTCAACTCCACTTTCTACCGAATGCTAAAACCATTGTATGGTGCTTAACGTTACAACTGAGGTAATTAAGCCTGTGTATAACACTGGGCTTTTCTCAGGTGCTCATCCATTTTTGGGCATGTGGAGTTAAAGGGATCATCTTAAATCTTGTTCACTTTAAACTTGTTTTTCATGAAAAAATACCCATCTATCTCTATAAGCCTTGAATAGAAGTCGAGATATTTGCAATTGAAAAAGGTGAGGGTCGTCTGGTGTCAAAGGTAAAATTAAAAAGAAAATGGCAGCCAAAGTTTGGTGACTTAAAAGCTTGAGGCTCAACTTGAGGGTCCTAGAAAAGGGCAAATAAATATTTTTTTTGGGGTCTGTGGTCAATGTTTTTTTTACTGCAAAGTCCACATAAAAATATGTCTTTAAATGGGCACCATAAAAGGTGTTGAGACCCCTAAAAAGGTGTACATAAAAATAGTCCAACCGGCAGAGAAATGTCAGTTTTTTCGATTCCATTATTTTGACGAGTGACTGATTTGACTATTATGATGCCACACATTGCATCTGGGTTTCGAGCTCTAGAGTAGAGGTGGGCAAGAATCCACTCCAGAACCAATCCCAACGATTGTTACTTCCGAGGAAAAGAACCAATCCCTTTTTACCTTATAAATAAACAAATGGTTATTTGTTACTTTAATATACTTTTTAAAAGAATGTTTTAAAAAAAAATAAAAAATTGATGCCTTGCTATGTTTAAAATTGAGCTTATCCTCAACCCTGAAGCTATGTTTTTGTACTTAAAAGAAGACTAAAAAAGATTAATTGGGGATACAAAAACATTGTCAAAGTCATATTGATCTTTTATGCAACGTCAAAATATCTGTTGCTTTCACCTTTTTCTCATTCATCTGTTATTTTTGTATCCCTCCTCTTTCACTTCAAAAAATCTAAAAATGTAATATATATATGCCCACAAGGCTTTATAACACAGGCTCTCATTTTTCGGTGTAGTTCAGTGAGGGTTTCTGACTTCACAGTGTATAGATTGTTCGGGGTACTGCGCACCCACCCCCGTTTTTATTCTCCCGTGGTAAAAGTAACTAGGATGAAAATGTAGCTCTACCGCAGTCGAGCCGTGAAAACGAGCAAATCCCTTTGTCTTTTGACTGTGTCGTCGGCACAAAAATTTATGCTGTAATAATTGCGGGTTAAAATTCTGAAAGGGGATTTCCCCTACCGGTACAGGTATCGGCTATTTATGTTACACGACCGTTTCTTGCAATGGTCGAAGGAAGTGAAACATGCCCAGCTCATTTCTTCACCTCCTCCAGCACTCCTCCCCCCTTCCTCCCACAAGCCAATGCTGCCGATCAACGAGTTACACGAGAAGTACGTCACAACATGTCCTTCTTTAAAACTTTACTGCAATAACAAGTAGGACTAAAATCAAGTAGACGGGTTGCAATAGTACTAGATTTAGATCTAGCGCTATCGTGTAAGTTCTCATATATATAGATCTATAATTCAGCAGGGGACTGATCCAAACTTAATTGTTACTCACCAGAAATAGTCATAGGGGTTGGACTAATCACATTCGGCAAAATATAGAAGACGCACCTGCCTGATAGGCGGCTAATTTTAATAATGTGACGTCATCACATTCTGGGATACTAACAGACTATTTTTAGAAGGCCGTGGAGATACCAAAGATCGTGTGGCAAAACAGTAAATAATCTTTGGAGATACCGCAAGGAACGACATCTTGGGTCAGTAAGTGGCTTGACGTATTATCCATATCGATGTGTTTCGCACGATAAAATTTCACACTTATGGTTAGCTACAGCCAGTCAGCCATGCTCTACTGATTGGTTTCAAGGTTTCCGGTATGTTAATAACATTTCAGAAATCCGGTAGTGACGCTTGAAATTGGAACACGGTAAACGCAAAGACAATATAAAGCGCGCGACGCAGAAGAGATAAGCAGCAGCATCATTGGAGCACTGCATCATATCACATTACCTTATTCCTGGAAGAATATCGCACGAAAGCTTCGTGCCATCAAAGATTCTCTATATGAGCTTTGGTGCCATGCGGTTGGCTATATTTAGATGTAGAAGCGTGATTGGAGGGGTATCCCGGTCAGACGTCACACAAGATGGCCGCCTTAGCTACAAATAGTTTGCGTCGTCTCACGTTTAGCCGCATGCGGACTAATCCCTACTTGCTGGATGTAATCCTATTTTAGGGTCAGACTACAAACTACTCGCCACATTTAAATATGATACGGCAAGGGGTCAGAACCACTGCTAGAAATCATAGAGTAGAGCCACCGGAATATAAATCACATCAGCAGCTCTACATAGAATCATAGATCAAGACCTACTGAAAGTGAAAATAATAGGGATTGGACTCGATTCCTACAATCCGTTCCTAACTTTCAATAATCAGCCCACCTCTATTCTAGAACGCAGTTTTGCAGTGGCTACGTTCACTGCGCCCTGAATGCAGTTTGCAGGCGCTGTTGAGGCTACGTTCACGGCACTCAAGCTTCCTTTAGACGGAGCGTCCACCACCAAGCCGGTTTTCGCCAATGACGAAATAGACGTATATTAACTCACTTCAGACGGCTCACACAACAGTTGCGTGACCCCCGCTGCGACGCTCGCGACGGGTCTCACAAGCCCTGCGTGACCAACTTTGGAATTTTTTTTTCGCTCTACAAATCACACACGGATCGCGAGACCCGCCTCGTACCCTTGTTTGGCCAAGCCTGAGCTACTTAGACTTCGTTTCGTATCTCTGGGGCCGGTAGTTTTTAAGTTATTGAAGGTGAAGGAGAGTGACCCCAACTGGGGTTGAACAGACCGGAACTTGTGCTTTGTTTTTTTCTATACAGCTGATAGTAATCCGACAGTCGCGTCTTAGAACGGTCGAAGAAGTCGCATGAACAAGAATCACATAATTTCGCCGTTTTCTATACTTTTGTACGTTTTACTAGTTCTAGTGTCTCAGAATATGATGTGTCTAATAGTTAGGATCCTGGATATGTACCCGAACACGGCCCGAGTCGTAGTTCTAGGGCTAGATCTAGCACTAGTACCGGTGTTGTTTTTCGCGCAACGAAAACACAACGTCGTGCCGTACATCTGTCTCATGTAATTCAGTGTATGGGTCTGAATCAATGCACAGACCAGCTTTTATATTTTCACCAAACACTCGCACATGTATACAAATCAAACCAGAACACTTTGAACTCTTATTTTTGTTGTTGAAGTGAATTTCATTCTACTTTTCACGTCTCTGGAAATTTTTCGGAAAATCAAATTCATGCCAATTTTTAAAAAATCATATAAATTAAAGTATTAGACTTAGACAACTTTAGTTTTTGTATTAGATTAAGCTTGAATGTTACTTTACTGTGTCAAAAAATAATTACAATAGGGTAATTCTGAGAGTTGTGGTGATTTATTGAAATACTCCCAAAAACGCCAGTCTTCAACGTTTGTGACTGGTGAAAGGGCCCAGTCGCAAGTGAGTTAATATTTTGGCCCGCTTCAAGTGTTCCATCCCATGAGATGAAGGAAAACAAAGCAGTGATCCTTGACCGATCGACCATTCATCGTTTTCCCTTACACACTGAGCTCTGGCTTAGAGCTCGCTAGTGAAATGGAACACGATGAACTCTCACTTATGCAACAAAGCATTATGATATATATAATATGACAAAAATGTATACTCCTATCAAGATGTTTCAATTTCCCTAGATCTATGATCTATCTCGTGTCTGGGCGAGACTTGGGCGCGACTTTGAGTTAGCATGTGACGACCTGTGATATATATATATATATATGAGTGTAAACACACATTCCAGCGCTCCCGAGTTGAAAGCGTGCAATTTTGTCTGCGGGCAGTGTGTGTGTGTGTGTGTGAGTGTGTGTGAGAAAGAGAGAGAGAGTGAGAGAGAGAGAGAGAGTGAGAGAGAGAGAGAGAGAGAGAGAGAGAGAGAGAGAGAGAGAGAGGGGCAGAGAGAGAGAAGGTTGGGGGAGGGGGAGAGAGAAAGAGAGAGGGAGAGACAGACAATCAGAGACAGAGATAAATAGAGAGAGAAGGGGGGGGGGGGAGAAAGAGAGAGGGAAAGAGAAAGGGGAGAGACAGACAGAAAAAGAGACAGCGAGAGGGTGTTTGTTATTATAATACGAATAATTGACTCCCGTCATTTTCTCCCTGCGTCTGTTCCCAGGCTGACTCAGTGCAATACAGTCATTTCTGTCCCCGTCGTTTTATGCAAGAAAAATTCTGAAATTATGCAAACTGAGCCCAAAAATGTGAAATTATGCGATTCTGTTAATGTTAACAAAGAATGACAAAGGAAAGTAATCAGAAATTATGCAAAAAATGATCAAATTTTACTAAATTATGCGGGGTGCATAAAACCACGGGGACAGATTATTGTGCCCATTTTTAAAGTCCCACCTTCCGAATCCCACCTTCTGTTTCCCATCTCTCATCGCTTGGTTCCCATGTACCGTATCCAATTTTCCATATATATTCCATTATATCCCAAAACCTTAGTTCGGTAAGGGCGCTTCGTTTCCCTTCATCTTCTGGGATGGAACGCTTAAAGCTGGCCAAAATATTAATTTTATGTCACTGTCGTCACTGACTAAAACCGGCGGACTTAAACCGGCAGTGGACACTCCCCTTAAACGAAACTGTAGTGCTGTGAACGTAGCCTCAACAGCGCCTGCAAACTGCATTCAGGGCACCGCGAAAGTAGCCTCCCAACTATGTTCACGGCGCCGTGATTGTGAACGTAGCCTGCAGACTATGTTCACAGTGTCGTGAACGTAGCCACGGGCCACTGCGATTCTAGAAAATCTGAATCTACATTTAAAGTTTAAAGATAATAGAATCTAGAGACAACAAGCATAGGCCTGAGAGATCTATAATGTAAGTAATGTAATGGATAGTCTAGAGTGTAGTGTGTGTAGATATGTCTCTGGAAATCTTCTAGCCTTCGTACTTCGTTGTAAGCTTGCAGAAATCATTTTCATGTCTCATGAATCATTTATAAGAACTTGGTCCATTATTCACAAACCTCAAACCGAGACTCTCTGAAATACAATGAAAGTGGAAAAAATGAAAACTGGCTTAGAAAACAGTATAGAGTTATAAAGGCACAGTGCACAAGACAAGAGTAATTACAAGATTAATTGGTTTTTCACCGTGCCAACCGTCTACGTGGTTGGGCATATTGATGTTGTAGAATGATGAAAAATCAAGAGTTATTTACCCTAGATACTGAAATAAAAGCTTTGCCACAATTTATATAATTTTAACGAAACAAAAATATGAAGAAACAAAAGAAACAGGTCAGAAAACAATCCTTGAGAAAATAAAATAAAGAAAAGATGTGGATCTTTTTAAGATTCTAAATTTTCTATTAAATCTGGATAAAAAAAATGAATAGACAAAACCCTTAAGTTTGCTGTCTTCTTTATAGATATAGATCTAGATTTATATATTTTTTTAAAAAGAAAAAAAAAATTCCGTTCGCCCAAGGAGCTTAAAATTACTGTAACTTGTAACATCCTTGCATTCGCCTCATGCGGAGAAATAGATGTGAAAGTATCAGAGTGGTCTCCCTGGTCCCCTCCCCCC